TTTCATTTTCATTTTCATTTTTTCATTTTCATATTTATCTTTATTTTCATTTTTATCATTTTTATTTTTATTTTTAGTATTGTCATTACTATTGCTATTATCATTATTGTTATTACTATCATTACTATTGTTGTTGTTCCTGTTATCATTACTATTATCATTATCATTATTATCATTATCATTATTATCATTATTTTTATAACTGTTATTATTATTCTTATAACCATAATCATTATTCTTATCATCACCATCATTATTGTTATTATTACAATCATTATCATCAATATCATTCCATTAACTGCTTCATTGTTTTCATCATTACCATTATCATTATCATTTACAATTATCATCACCATTATTGTCATGTTTATCATTAACATCATTCTTATTATTGTCTCTACTATTATTACTGCTACTACATTATAATTATTGTAAATATCATTATGATAATTTTTATCGTGGTTATTATTATCATTATTACTATTATTATATTATTATTATTATTTATTATCATTTATTATTTTATTATTATTATTATTATTATTTTATTTATTATTGTCAATTATTATTATTTATTATTATTATTATTATTATTTTTATATTTTATTGATTATTTTTGTTGTTGTTGTTGGTGTTTTGTTGTTGTTGTTGTTGTTGTTGTTATTGTTTGTTGTTATTATATTATTATTATTATTTATTATTATTATTATTATTATTATCATTATCTATTATTATTATTATCATTATCATTAAATTCAATAATGATAGATTTTTTTTATCCAAATTGTTATTATTATCATTATCATTGTCCATTATTATCATAGTTATTATCATTATCCTCATTATTATTATTATTATTATTATTATTAATTAATTATCATTAATTATTATCATTATTATTAATTATTATTATTATTATTATTATTATTATTATATTATTATTATTATTATTAGTTATGTATTATTATTATTAATGTATTATTATTATCGATTATTATTCAGTTGTTGAGTTATTTCATGTATGTCGATTATGTTCATTATGTGATTGATCTATTATTTTATTTATTATTGCTTATCTATTATTATTATTATTATTGTTATTATATTAGTATGATTATTGTTATTATCATTAATTATTATCGATATTATTATTATTTATCAATTTTTATTATACATTGTTAATTATTATTCTTATTATTATTTATGTTATTATCATGTATTATTATATTGTGTTTATATGTATGGATTATGTATTATTTATTATTTTGATATTATTATTATATATTCATTGATTATTATTTTAATATTATTATTGATTAAATTATTATCATTGATTTTTAATTATTATTATTATTATTATTATTATCAATTATTATTAATTATCATTTCATTATTATTATATTATATTGATATTATTCTTGTTGTTGTCGGTTGTTGATTTATCATTATTTGTATTATTGATTTCATTTATGTGATTAATGTGTTATTATCATTTGTTTAACTTATGTTTCATTATTATTATTATTAATTGATTATTTATTTGTTGTGTTATTATTGTCTATCATTGTATTGGATTATTATGTGAGTATAGTTTTATAATTGACGCTGGCTATTGTTAGTTACTGCACCTTATTATATGTAATACTATTGGGGTATTAATAGTTATTGCTTATGATACGAGGGGTTATTGAGTGTAATGAGTGATGATGGTGATTATAAGTGAGTTGTTTATGTATTAATCATTCATCATCAATCTATTTAGACGTTGGTATAATTAGTATCATGGCAGTCAGCAGTCATGCGATCATCATTATCATGTATCATATATTACTAAATTAATTATCGATTTAATATGGTGTGTGCTATTGGTATTGGGTTACTGATTTTTCTATATATCACTGCTTTTGATGGATTAAATACCTCAGTTATCATGAGATTATCATAGATGTAATCAGTATCGAGGTGATTAATGCAGTATTTACCGATAATCGATCGCTGATCATTCATTAGACTATTGATTGATGTTAATAACCTTGGATTATTGTTGTTATTGCATTCATTGTATTTACTATCACATATATCTAATGTCTCATTGGTGTAGGGCATTGGATTAACTAATTCATTATTTATTTCGTTCCATTATTAGTATTGCTATTATCATCATTCCTATCTTATTATTATTTTAGAATAATGATGTTATTTTTTATCCTAATTATCATGGTTTGATATTATGTTTATTGTTCGTATTATTAGTAACGTTGTTATCGTTGCTATTGTTGTTATTATTGTCTGTTATTATCTTTATTATCCATTATTATATTAGTGTTATTTACTGTTGTTATTATTATTGTTATTATCATTATCATTATCATTATCATTATTATGGTTGCTATTATTATCATCATTATTATTATCATAATATTGTTGTTACAATATTATATATTATTATTATTGTTATTATTATTATTATTATTATTATTATTATTATTATTATCATTATTATCATCATTATTATTATCATCATTATTATTATCATTACAATTATTATTGTTATTATTATTATCATATCTATTATCATATTATCATTATCATAATTATTATTGTTGTTATCATATCAATATTCTTATCATCCCCATCTTTATTATCAATACTATTTTTGAGCATTTGTATTATTATCATAATTGTTTTTATCATTGACATGACTATTATTAGCATAATTAGCTTTTTAGTACTGCTCCTGCTACTACTATAATCATTGTCATTATTATGCATTTCTTATATTGTGTTATTTATTATATTGTTTTTATATTGTTTTTATCATATTGTTTTTATATTGTTTTTATATTGTTTTTATTTTATTATCATTATTGCCATGATCATGTTTTCCGATCGTCCTATAATCATTATTATTATCATCTTTTACTTTTTTATAATTTCATCATCATTACCATTATCAATCTTATTGTAATTATGATTATTGTTATTATTGATGTTATCATTATTATTATCATCATTATCATTATTATTATTATTATTAATATATTCATCATTATTATCATTATTATATTATTATTATTATTATTATTATTATTATTAATTATTATCATTATTATCAATGATTATCATGTTATTATCAATTATATCATTGTATTTTTATCAATTGTATTATCACTATTATTTATAATATTGTGTGTATCATTAATATTACTATTTTCATTATCATCTCATTTTTATTTTGTTGCTATTATTACATGTATCATCATGATTCCTATGTACATCATCATTATTATGTTTTTTATACTCATTATTTTTCCATTACTATCATGGTGCTCATTGTTAGATCATAGATCATTTATATGTACTTCATATATTATTATTTATTATCTTATTATTGTTGTCACGTGGCCATAATCATTGTCAGTATCATCATCTCTGTCATTGTTGTTTTTATTATGTTTTTTTTTATCAAAAGTATTATCATTATTATTGCCATTATTACTATAATCATCATTATCATTGTTATCATTATCTTTGCTATTACTTATACTATTATTTCTTTTCATTATTTCTTTTAATGGAATTTTTCCTTTTCACTTTGAAATTTCCATTGATACTATGATCATCACATATTTTTCTTAGTTCATCTCTTTTTTATTATCATCTGTATTATCACTATTGGTATGATTATTTTTTCATTCTCCTTCTCATCATTTTTCATTGGTATCTTTTTGTTTGCCCATATTATAATCATGTTTTTTTAATGATAACATTATTGAAGGTATCGTGATTATGATCATCATAATCAGTGTTGTTATTTTTTTAATCATTATCATGATTAATATTGTGATCATATTTTGATATAAGAAATCGTTATTTTGGTTACCATTATTTTTTTATCATTGTCATTATCATTATTGTTGTTATTGTTAGCATTATCATTACTGTCCTTATGTTCATCCTCATTATCGTGATGATAATAATGATAATAATATTAATAATCATTATTGGTGATATTATCATTCGTATCGTCACTGTCATTATTATTATCATTACTATCATTATTCTTACAGTTATCGCAATCACTACTGTCATCTTTATAATTTCTACTGTTATCATTATCATAATTCTCCTTATTGCCCTAATATACAAAATTTCCGTCGAGAGAGGAGAAATCGCAACAATGAAATAACCAGCAATAACAAAATGACAATACCGATGAATAGATAAATTATGAAATTTAAATGAATACTAAAAAGATAATTACAATGAATGGTAATTATGGACGCTTTACCACAATTAGCAGTACTATTATCATCACTATTACTATCGATATCAGAATCATTACTCTGGTTCTGATTATCATTATCTTTATCACTATTACTAATCTTGGCAAGAAGTACCCACTCTCTTGTGTTAACAGTCATGCGCAAAAACGCAGCTAAATCGTGCAGTTGTGGTAACAGCGAGTAAAGAATGTAGACAAAAACAGCCACAAGGAGGCCAAAGAAAGTAACATCAAGGGTAGAGAGAGAGAGAGAGAGAGAGAGAGAGAGAGAGGAGAGACGAGAGACGAGCGAGCGAGCGAGAGAGCGAGAGCAGAGAGATAGAGAGAGAGAGAGAGAGAGAGAGAGAGAGAGAGAGAGAGAGGAGAGAGAGAGAGAAGAGAGAGAGAGAAGAGAGAGAGAGAGAGCAAGAGAGAGAGAGAGCAAGAGAGAGAGAGAGAGAGAGAGAGAGAGAGAGAGAGAGAGAGAGAGAGAGAGGAGAGAGAGAGAGAGAGAGAAGAGAGAGAGAGAGAGAGGAGAGAGAGACAAGAGAGAGAGGAGAGAAGAGAGAGAAGAGAAGACAGAGCGAGCGAGCGAGGAAGCGAGAGAGAGATGAGAGAGAGAGAGAGAGGAGAGAGAGAGAGAGGAGAAGGAGAGAGAGCGAGGAGAGAGAGGAGGAGATGAGTAGGGAGAGAGAGAGAGAGCCAAACTGCGGGAGAAGGGAGTAGATGAGGAAGAAGAAGAAGAGATGAAGATAGAGGGGCGAGGTAGAGGTAAGGAGAGGACGAGGAGAGAGAGGGGGATCGGAGGGATGAGGAGGGGGGGCGAGAGGGATTGAGAGAGGAGAGAGAGAGGTTGAGAGGATGTGTAGGAGAGAGATCGAGTTGGAGAAGGTAGAGAAGCGAGCCGGAAGCGAAGAGGGAAGGGGAGAGGAGGTAGAGAGAGAGAGATGGAAGGAGAAGTACTAGTGAGTTGGTTGGGCATGGCGGGGGGAGGTCGCGCTAGATGATGTTTGAAAGAGAGATTTGACAGAGAAGAGAGGTATGGCAGATAAAATGATAGATCAATTCGATAAAATTAGAAAGAAAGATGAGAGGGAAGCGAACAGTAATAGATAGACAGACAGACAGATAGAATGGAGGTAACAGCAAGGAACAACACGAAATAGAAAATAGATTCCTCAGAGGCTAGGAGGGTGTGACGGGGCTGATGCTAGACTAGCCGGGAACGCTCCTCGGTCGGACTAACTCTCTGTCTTGACATTTAAGTGGGCGGCGTGAGAATTCTGCATAGTGGATCTGATATGGCATATTAATAGTGGTGTCGTTTGGAAGAGGGAGTAGGTCGTTAATGAGGGGCATGGGATGCTGGGTGGGGGGAGGGGAGAAGGAGGCGGGATTAGGGACTGTCGGGGAGAAGGGAAGTAAATACCACCATCACCATCACACAGCACAGCACACATATTGGGACACGCACGTAACATACACAGACACACTACAAGCATGATATATAGATAGATAAGTGGACAGAAGGAGACGAGAGTTGGGAATTGGGCGAGTGGTAAGTACAGTAGTCAGGCGCATGGGTGTGAGGGCGACAGAACAGGATTGGCCAGAATGAGCGGTTGTGGCTGCGTTGGCTGGGATAGGAGGGAGAGAGAGTGTAGTGTGATGGTACAATAGTGGGATGTAAAGATGTTCTTATGTGTAGGAATTTGTGGGCGTTAAGTATACAATGCCTAATGAACGGGAGGGATAGGTAGGTCGTAGGTAAGAGGTTGTAATAGGTGTGGACCATAAGATGATGCTACGAAAAGGAAAAAGGGAAGAAAGTACAGTTCGCGAGAGTGGAGATATGTATGTAAAGTAAAGGAAACAAGCAGAACACACAATTAAAGACGTAGGGGCGTGTGTGGTGTAATAGATGGCGAAGCGCGTGGGGAAAAAAAGAAAATGAAAGACAGCGAGTGACGGCAGAACGCAACGATGAACGCAATAGGAGAGACGAATAGGGAGATGGAGTGGGGATGCTGAGGAGAAACCTCCGTGAGGCGTTCTACATAAACAATCGCAGCCTTGCTTGTTTGGGACTCGCGTGCCAGTGTAGGTGCAGACAGCAAGGTCAACGGACGGTGTTGCCGGCCTCGCGAGTGATACTATGAAACATCTCCACCTTTGAAGTTGGAGCAATAAATAAGTATTGTAGATTTGGTGGTGATTGTTTTCTGATGTTGGTTGACGAATATGAAAAAAAATTTGGTCTGAGTAGGGACTTGAAGTATATATTTGACGATTTTCAAGAAGTTGTGAATAGATATAGGATTGTCTGTAATCAAGTTCTTGGTGAATGGTATATGGTAATAGAGGAGTGAAAGGTAGAATTATGGTAGCATATTGTATGCAAAAGGGTACATTGCGTAAGTGAAGATTAGATCATCGGTATTAGGAGATACAAGGTTGTGTGTATCAGGTACGAGAAAAGATGGTTCGGCGCCATGAGGTAGGCGCCCGAACGATCAGGATAATGGGAAAGGAAGGCGAAAAAGATACAAGCATATCCGAGATGTTATGTCTTTGGTGCTGTTTGTGGTGAAGAGCCAGGACGTAGTGATGAGGGAATTTGTGCGTGCACTCGGGTGGGGGGTTGTGGTGGCGTCGAGGAACGGCGGAAGACAATGCTTGTATGTTGATAAGAAGCATCTGTTGGTAGGTTTTGCTCTCTCTCATCTCCTCTCTCTGCGTCTCTCTCATCTCCTCTCTCTCTCGTCTTCCTCTCTCTGCTCTCTCTCTTTCTCGTCTCTCTGTGTCGTCCTCTCAATGAGGAGTCGTTTGCGAAGCGAGTGGTGTCCTGGCCATTGGTGGATGTTGTCTCGGTACAAGGTTTTGATGGGTGGTTGTCCGTTGAATATCTAGCTCGATTGTTGGGGGTTATGTGGGTCTTTGGGTGGAGGTGAGAGTATATAGTTTGTATTCATTTGCTGATGTGTATTGTAGTATACTATATGTTGAATATTATACAGTAGCAGTAGCAGATGCAATATGGTGTTGCATCGTAATGGGTAAGAGGAGGCGTGGATGTGGATAGTAAGTGACCTCGTATATGACTACATATAAGTATATAATATATTATAATACGTATATTAGTATATAGTATATATATATATATAAGCGGGTGGGAATATAAATGATAGGGTATATAGTATATATTATACTTGTTGGTATGTATGGTATTGTTATGTAGTGGTTGTATGTCACTAGTCTATATAATATATAGGTCTATGTATATAATGTATATGTTAGTATTAGTTAATAATATAGTATATGTATATAAATGATATAATAATATAATATTATATTATATATATATAATTATTATATAAGATATATATAAATGATATATAGTAATATGTATAGAAGTCATATATGTACCACAAACACACTACAGAACAGAATCCACACACGTTACACAGCGGCAGCACCGCGACGCACACACTCTCTCATGATATAGTTATATATAGTATATATAATATTATATCGTATCTATATATTCATATACTAGTATTACAATTACATACTCTAACTAATACTACATACATACAGTACAAGTACATACCACTACAGTAGAATACATACATGACATACATATATATGAATACAATAGTATATATATATATATAACAGTTATATATATATATTATATATATATATATAATGAATACATGATATATATAAGGTATTATGAATGCATCTATATGTGATTAGTTGCCACATCAATTTACTAGTAATATGTGATCCATGATATATATATATACTATATATATTATATAGTATATATATATATATATATATATATGTTATCATGTATATATATGTATATGTAGCATTACTTACATTAACATATACATGATAACATATAGATATGCATATACATTAGTGGGTAGATCTGTCTCTCGTCTTTTGTCCGGTAGCTATTATAGGGATGTGTTTGTTTTACATATTTATATCGTATGGTATATATATAATATATATGTAATAGTTAGTATTACGTATATACTATTAATATACGAGTACATATATATATTATTATCGAGATAATAGCAATAGGATAATTATATATATACTATTATTATATATATGATAATAGTTTTATAAATATTAGCTATTATATTTTTTTCTTTTTTTTTTGTTTTGTTTTAATATTATAATAATTATTATTATATTATATATATCTTATATATAATACATCATATAATGTCTTTGATAGACACTATGTTATTTTATATAGTATTAAATTAATATATCTTATAGCTCGTCGTAAGGTATTATACAGTGTGGTAATTGATTAGAGGAGTATATATAATAACCTAATAACGAAATACTAGTATACTAATAGCGTATACGAAAGGGGCTCTACGTCAACACTGTAGTATTGTATGGTATGTGTATGGGAAAATGAAGCTGATGTTTGTTGCATGGAAAGGAGGTGTGTGTAGTAGTAGTGTTGGTGTGGTGGTGTGTGTGTGTGTGTGTGTGTGTATGTAGTGTATAGTATTGATATGATATTATAATATCTTATATATTATAATTTATATATATATTATACATATATATATATGTATATATGTAATGTATATTGTATACACACACACACACACACACCACACACTACACACATCATACATTATATATATATATATATATATATATATTATATATATATATTATATATATATATATAATATATATATATAATAATATATATATATATTATATATATATATATATATTATATATTACTATATATATATATATATATATGCATGTATGTATTGTATGTGTGTATGCCTTACATATTCTAACACTGAAACGCATAGATAATAGATCCTGTCCATCACCTTCTTACTTCATACCCAGGCTGTCAATTGCCAAGACGGATTCCTCCGTTTCCCTCCCACTCAAGTCACCCCCTCTTTCAGGCCCGAGTTCCTCCCTGGAAGACAGTCGGCAGCAGACCCGACCTCCCCGCCCGTCCCGCTCCGCCCCGCCTAGCTTTCCAACGAGTCGAAGGGCCCGGTCCCTGCCTCCCCCAAAACCAGCGCCCGGTCACCAAGCCGGTCTCCCCGCCGCCCATGCCACTTCCTCGACGAGTCTCGCCCACCCAGCTCTCGTGATTCTGCTGCCTGAGCTGCTGCCTCCGCCCTTTCCAGTCCCTATCCCTGCGTTTCACTTTGTCCCAGTTCCACGCCCTGCCCTAACCTCCGTCGAGGAAGCGCCCTACTTCTCTAACCCGGCGCAGGGCGATGTTGTGACTCGGCAGGATAAGAATGCAGATAAACCGGGTTATTCCGCTTCAGGAGAAGGCGAGGGAGGGAATGACACGCTCAGTGGTTCTGCCGTTTCTTCTCCTTCACCTTCGTCAGCTTCTTCCCCCCTTCCTTCGCTTTCATCCGTCGAAACGCCCTTCAGTCCTTTACCTCTCTCACCTCTTCTCGTCCGTTCTTCTTCGTCCTCTTCCGCACCGAACTTGCCGTCCTCCTCGCCGGGTTTTCCTCCCGAAGATATAGAACCCAGAGTAAACCCGATTGCATTCCCCTCGCCGGACGACCCCAAACTCTTCGAATCCTTATCCAAAGACCGGATTATCTTCCCCTCGACCACCGAAAAGGCCATCAGTTTCCCCTCTCGGAACTCCCCACAACCTCCCTCCGTTACACCCTCACCCCCCTTCACTAACGCTACTGTGGTTCCGACAGTGGCCGTCGTGTCAGAAAATAACACGGACATCCGAGTGAGCATCATCGCCCCCCACCGACCCTGCACGAGGCTGTGCCAGTATCCCGCGGGGGCCGGGGTCTGCCTCACGGACTTCACCTGCATCAGAAATATCAACTTTCTGCGCATTCGCCCGCAGGCGGTGAAGAACGAGTGACTTTTTGTAAACCTGTCGTTTTACCTTCTGTGATTACTTATAGTTGTCTATGTGAATCATGTATCAGGGATTTATTTATTATACAGTAATCTGTTATTTTCAGTTATTCTGTTGATTTTTACGATCATTTTTAAAAGTTTCTGCCGCACTTGTTGTTTTTGTTTCCTTCATTCACACGAATATACATTCATGCATATATATATATATATATATATATATATATATATATATATATATATATATATATATATATAACATAATATATATAAGCCTCCCCCTGCCAGTGCATAGCCTCTCCATCATCGAGACTCCCTGCAGTGCCTCCTCGTGGCCGCCCATGGAAACTGGGTACCTTGCGGTTCCAGGCTAAACTGAGGGGATCTCGGAGCAGCAGGAGGCCCCAGAGGTTCAGGGCCATGGCCCACCGGCATGTGGACACGCCCTGGCCCTGTACCAACTCCTGCCCCCTAGCCCCCTGGGGTTAATGGGAGGCTCGGGAGGTGGGCCTTGCCAGTCCTCCTCCCCCCAGATATAAAACCAATCGGCAGTGCCACAATTAAATGGAAAGGCTGGGAGGAGGGGAAAAGCCCCTCCCACCCAGAAAGTGAGGCGGACTGTGGGCCCTGCTGGGAGGGCGACTGCTGGAGCGCAGGCTGGGAACGGGAACTACCCGTCTCGCCTGCACTCTGGTGGCCGCCAGCCCAGAGTGAAGCTTGTGGGGGAAAGCCCTCGGGAACCCCACAGGTGGATGATGGGGCACGCAGCCCGCCACCCCCTTTTATATGGGGCAGCGTCGGTGGGGTGGCAGAGGTGCATCCACCCGGAGCGACTGCCAGAGGCTGAACCTCAGGCGGGAAGTTAGGGTGGGGGCTTGGAACGTCCGTTCATTACGTCAGGATGATCGGTTGCCTCTACTGTCGAGGGAACTGGGGAGGCTGAGAGTTGAGGTGGCTGCTCTCTCGGAGGTGAGGAGGCCTGGCAGCGGCATGACCTGTGTAGGTGGCTACACCTATTATTGGTCGGGCCGCAGCGATGGCCACCATCTCCAGGGAATAGCCATTGCCATCTCCAGCAGACTCCAGACCTCGGTAGTAGAGGTTACTCCTGTTGATGAGCATATAATGGTATTGAGATTGAAGCTATCTTTTGGCTTCATGTCTCTTATTGCTGTGTACGCTCCTACCGATGTTTGTAAACTTGACGTGAAAGAGATGTTCTACTCCAAACTTACATCTGTGGTAGACAGATGTCCCCGACGAGATATTTGCATTGTTCTGGGCGACTTCAATGCGGTATCGGGCTGTGATCGAGCTGGCTATGAGATGTCTGTCGGTCCCCATGGTTCAGGAGCTGATGCCGGTAGCGAGAATAGCCTCCTTTTCCGAGACTTTGCTAGGTCCCAGAAATTGAGGATTTCTGGCTCCTGGTACCAGCGCCCAGACCCACATCGCTGGACATGGTACAGTGAGTGATGCGGGTAACGCAGCCAAGGAGATCGACCACATACTTGTTAGCACTCGGAGGATCCTTCAGAATTGCAGGGTGTACAGGAATGCTGAGTTCTGTGGTACTGACCATAGATTGGTTGTGGCTACCCTCCGGGTCCACTTCAAAACCCCCCAGCGGTCAAATGATCACCCTAGGTGTTTTCATTTGGACAGGCTGAGGAGGGGGAGTGTGCCCGCGGGTTTGCTGAGGCAATCTCTGATCGTTTCGCAGTGCTTGGCAGTCTGACAGACCCTGTTCTTCTGTGGGATACCTTTAAACGTGAAACGCTTGATGCAGCTCAAGATACGATTGGTGTACGCCCGAGAGCAGTACAGAATTCCATCTCGCAGGAGACACTGGAAGCCACAGATGCATGTCGTGCGGCTCGTCTGACAGGGGATCGGGAATTGCACCGTCCTCTTGTGCGCAGAACTCGGTCCCTGTTAAGAAGGGACAAGGAACAGTTTATTAGGAGTCTTGCAGAGGAGGTAGAAGGCCATTTCTTAGTAAATGACCTTCGTCCTGCATACCAAGCCCTGAGAAAGCTGAACTCCAAGCCCTCTTCACAGGTGACAGCAGTTCGCTCAGTAAGTGGTCAGATCGTTTCAGATCCTGTTGCGGTGCGGGGAACATTGGGCTGAGTATTTTGAGCAGCTGTACCAGGTTGACCCACCAACAGTTAACTTGGATGCGGGTAGTGTCGAGATCCCGCTGCCGGATCCACCTATCAGTGAGGACCCTCCCTCCCTAACTGAAGTTAGGGGGGCAATTTCCAAGCTGAAGTGGTAAAGCAGCTGGTATCTGCGGCATACCAGCTGAACTGTTAAAGGCTGGTGGTGAACCTATGGCACGGGGGTTACATGCTGTCCTGGCTGCCATCTGGCAGTCCGGTTCCGTTCCTCCTGACCTGTTGAGGGGTGTGGTCACCCCTCTCTGGAAGGGAAGGGGACCGTTGGGACTGCAGCAATCACCGAGGCATCACACTGCTCAGTATACCATGCAAAGTTCTCGCCCACATCCTTCTGAGACGTATCAGAGACCATCTACTGAGGCACCAGAGACTGGAGCAATCCGGATTCACTCCTGGTAAGTCCACAATAGACCGTATCCTCGCGCTTCGAGTCATTGTAGAGCGCCGTCGTGAGTTCGGGCGTGGGCTGCTTGCACCCTACATCGACCTCAAGAAGGCGTTCGATACGGTGCATCAGGAGTCACTTTGGGAGATCCTGAGGCTGAGAGGAATACCAACAAGGATTATTGGACTAATAGCAAGCCTGTATACTGGTACTGAAAGTGCTGTAAAGTGTGGTGGGGGCCTGTCGAGCTTCTTTCCTGTTAGCTCAGGAGTGAGGCAAGGTGTCCTTGCACCAACTCTTTTCAACACTTGCATGGACTGGATACTGGGCAGAGCTACTGTTCAAAGTCATTGTGGGGCAACGCTGGGCAATATCAAGGTTACAGACCTTGACTTTGCTGATGACGTTGCCATTCTATCTGAGTCTTTGGAAACCCTAGTGGCGGCTCTCGATGCATTTAGCAATGAAGCGAAGCCCCTGGGTCTAGAGGTCTCCTGGACCAAGACCAAGGTCCAGGAATTTGGGGACTTGTTAGGAGAACCTGTTCAGTCGGTACTTGCTTGCGGCGAGGACATTGAAGTCACAGAGAGCTTTACATACCTTGGTAGTGTAGTTCATAACTCTGGGCTGTCAGACCATGAAGTCAGCAGACGGATTGGCCTGGCAGCAGGGTCATGAACTCTCTCAACAAGTGTATTTGGAGATGTTGGTACCTGTGCAGAAGGACCAAGCTACGGGTTTTCAAGGCCCTGATAATGCCAGTTTTGCTATACGGTAGCGAAACCTGGACATTGTCCTGTGCCTTGGAGGCTCGTCTTGAAGCCTTTTGTAATAGGTCCTTGCACCAGATCATGGGGTACTGTTGGCGGGACCACGTGTCCAACCAACGGTTGCACCGTGAGACTGGCACAAGACCTGTTATCTGCACAATCCGTGATCACTAACTCAGGCTATACGGCCACCTGGCTCGCTTTCCTCAGGATGATCCTGCCCATCAGGTCGTCTCTATTCGAGACAACCCTGGGTGGAGGAGGCCTGTGGGCGACCGAGGAAGTCATGGCTTGGGCAGATCGACCAAACCTGCCGTGAAGAACTAGAGATGGGCCGAGTCCCTGCCTGGCGTCTAGCCATGAGGGATCCTCGTACGTGGAAGCGAAGGTGGATGCGGCTATGCGCCCCCCGCCGGCGTCAGCCCCCATGATGATGATGATGATATATATACATATATATATATATATATATATATGTGTGTGTGTGTGTGTGTGTGTATATATATATATATATAATATATATATATATATATATATATATATATTATATATATATATTATATTATATATTATATATATATATATATATAATATATATAATATATAAATAATATATTAAAATATATATATATATATATATATATATTATATATATATATATATATATATATATATATATATATATATATATATATATATATATATATATATATATATATATATATATATATATATATATATATATATATATATTATCACAGTATCTCCAACTACAAAATACGTCACACTGTAGGGCCACCAGTGCAACGTGTCAGCATCACCTGCATCAATAAGGGCATCAAGAATAATCTCTTGGATTCTTGCACACGGTTTAATCCTTTCCTGGAGACATTCGAGCTGCAAACAAATAAAACACTGGTAACCATGTACTGAAATTCAGGTCATTGATAAAAGTACCACAGTTATTTCAGTCTGGGCTTTCTTGATACATGAATTAAAGATGTGTAATGCTTTACTTTTCTTATTTCAAAAGACTGGAAGACTATTAACATAAATATATGATGAAAATCTGTAGATATACAGCCCGACTCAATGAACATTCATTACACACACACACACACACACACACACATACACACACACACACACACACACACACGCACACACACACACACACACACACACAAAGGAATATTTATTAGTCTACACTTGCATATCTACCGTATATATAAATTAATATATAAGCACTTAGAAATGACAGACAAGTAGCAAATTCATCACACATAAACATAAAAATATTTACATCGTATCCCAAAGCAGGTAGCACTGACGCTCCACATCACCACCTCATCACCACAGGCACGTCACGTCACGACAGGTAGCCAGCCTGCACCCTTGCATCTATGAGACAATTTCACTTATATGAAACATCATATCAGGTATTAGCACTTGACAAATTTAAGATCTACGTGGAAATAATAGCACATCACTATTCATATAAAGGAAAATACAGTATACCAATTAATACCAACCAATACGAGGACCATGTGAGGGTAGAAATCACTCTGCTGGGTGACAAGCCCAACTCCAGCGCTTTCCCAGACTACACTGAAGTCCTTGGGGTTATCACTATGACTCCAACAGTTCTTTAACATTTTAACTGCCA